TTGTCTTATTCTGCGACTTTCCCAACCAGCGGAGTGTAAAGTTATTTAGGGTTATTTAAGAGCTCGCCTTCGCATTTACAGCTCTTGGTAGATTGGTCCATGTTTTGACTGAGGAAAGAGTAACTCCTACCAAAAGAATCTGCTTGTACCTGATTTCGATCAAGTTGTTGCTGTGCAACACTGAAACCGTGGCTTCGGACGAAGGAGCATCAACAATGGCTTAAGTACGTACGGCAGGGTTGGTATCGATGCGTAACAACGGTTAAATGGCAGAACCACATAGGTAATGACTGTTCTTCTCCGTGACTCACTGGTGACCTCAGCAGATGCATGAACTAAGATAATGAGGGTGGTCCTGTTAGACAAACTTTCCTAGCATAAACCATTCACTGCAGCTCATGAGCATCTCGTGCGTGAGCTAAAAAAAACGGCTGATCTCATATCATATATACAGAAAAAGAGAAGTTGAATTAATAACCGGACACATGATCAAACAGAATTCAGAAAACAAAATCGACACTGAATAATACTTCAGATTTTTTATTTTGGGGGCCATATAGATCAACTGAACGATTCATGGTTCAGGGTACCAAACACTGCAGATGGTACAACACCTTATTGCCGACGCGTTTCGCTACATAGACCATAGTACCCTCTTTAGGCAATAAAATGTTGTACTCTCTGCAGTGTTTGGTGCCCTGAACAATGAACGTTTAAATCATCTATGCAAAATCGATATTACTGGTACTTCGTTCACAAACCTTTATGCAATACTTGGATGTGGTATAAAGAAGCACTGCTAAATAAATAAATTCTTTTCTGTCAGAGATGCCACATGACTTCTGAAGCGCTTAATATGCATTTAAACAGTCTTCATATGAAGACGTAGTTTAAAACGCATGTGTAAGCATAAAGCGTATTACGCAAAACTAATGCATAATTTATCCAAGGCAAAATTTCACGGTTTATGGCAACGCCCTATTGCTCCTAGTTGCCTAGGTGTAGGGAGAAGGAATTTAAGCAGGTTACTGATCGATTATATTTGAGCACCTGCAGTGCCAGATGCCTCAAAACATCATTTTGCGTGCTAAAGCCATCTGACGATCACTACGACGTTTCAGAACCTGGTACTCATTATGTGCTACCGCTACCGCTATCAGATGCATTATTACATACAACTACAATATATCAACAGTGGCCATGTCAGTCACAAATTATGCCCGGATTCATACACATCGGAAAGAATACAAACTGTGAATACAGTACGCTTCCTAACCGTCGATTAACAAATCGAGGCGAGTGTCAGAATTAGTAGTTGTTTTGCACAAAGCAACTGAGGTGTTTCGAGATGTCGCTGGGTAGAAAACAACGTTAATCGTGTTCTAGCCACTCGCCCCTGGCCTGGTCTGCTGAAACAGTCTAAAATTTAGTTTCGCAGCAAGATGCATTGTAAAGTGCTTGCAACAGCTGTGTCTTCTCCAACGACACGTGTCAAAATCATCGACGCACTTGAAAAACGAGTAACTGTCCTCGTGTCAGTCAACGCTAGGCTGATGGGAGGCATGCGTTGAAGCACTACCAGATAAATTGACCGATGGATACTCCGAAGAATCGATACGAAGAACGAATAAGATACAGAGAGAAACAAACTGGTTTGACTTCTCCTCCATGACGTACATGACGCATCTGACAGGTTCCCAATCCTGATGAAGCTTAGTGAATAATCAGAAAACTGTTGTTTCAATTGTGGGGTACCTCTATGTGCGAACGATGCGGGAGACTCCATGGTGTAAAAGTAGCCGAGCTGCTGATGTTGCCCTCAAAAGAAGAAAAAATAGTCATTCCTTGCTGGAGACGTCACGACAAACCCGTAGTTACATTCTCATACAAGTATATAGAAAACATTGGTGCTGCAGTCACGTCGTCTACATCCGGAAGCTTATGTCCAGTTACGACGTTGCACTACATCGTTTCGCAATACATACTACGGCTATACGAACATATCAACTCAGGCATTGGGTAAAGAAGTTCCTTAGCCTGCTTTAATCAGGTATTCCTTATTCACGCACAAGATTACTGTCATATTTTACCACAAGATGTCTCTCAAAACAAATCGTCGAAATGTGCACTACGTAGCAAAAAACGCTGACCTTCGAAAACATCCGTCATCCTTGAATCTGTGTTTGCAAGGGCAAATGGATCGTTTGTAATGGATATTTATAAAAATAGAAATATTCAAATATTCAGACAGTTAGAATGACATTTCCATTCCAAAACACGAAGCGTTTATCGTTAGCGTTTATCCAAAACCCACTGCACCGCTGGCGGATGGAATTCAAGTGAAGATTAGTTTGTTGAAACTTTATAATGTAAAAGCATCTCTACATTCTAGGAACTGTTTTGCAAGAGTATGTTCTACAATCGATTTTTTTCAGACTGAAGCTCGTAAAAAAATCTTGATAGATCGGTACAAGACCTCAAAGTCTGAAGTTGATCTGAACCGAGTTTACATAATGTCCCCTGTAACGGTAAATTAACAGTCGAAGCCTACTGAAAAAACTCACTTACTAAGGTGCCTATTGCAATGAAGTAACTTTATGACAATTTGAAGCTATCGACGTGCAGACCCCCCCCC